GGAGGTCGGTATAAATCTGCCAAAATCAGGACTAGACGAAATAATAAATAAGTAAAATTGACTGGTCTAATTGGCCGCGAAAGTTTACCCGCCGCGCCGAATATACCAAAATAAATCGATATCTACCAAAAACCGAAATTAATGAAATATATCACAAGGCTTCCAAAACATATTTAGCAGATATTTATAATTCGATATCTCATTGGAGAGAAGAGAGAGGATCGGGAGTCGATAGATTTTAATTTCTAAAACTTTTAGACGTTCGCTTCGAAATTAATCACTCGTTAATTTAATTTGGTCCCGAAACTCCCGATGCTAATACACTTTGGCTTCATAAAACCGCTCGCGCTCCGATACGTTATTGTATTTCGTTCAAAATTTATCACTGGAGCAGAAACGAAAAACAATAACGGATTCGAATGCACATTCTTTGTTCCCATTTCACGAATTTCGGTACATTATAAATTTCCTACACTGGCGTTTATTCGTACATTTCAAGGAAATATTCCGATACATTGTGACTCAACTAAAGTCGTGCTCGGTGTGTGTGTATATTTTACTTTCCAATCGGTTACCAGTAAATGGTCGTTTAACCCGAATATCGAGATCTGAATTGACGATTAATCACTTTATGTTCGAATTAAAACCAACTTAACAATTCAAATGTATCGATGAGCTAATAGCTTAATTGGTATGAGTCATCGATTAAAACGAGCGATAATTCGCGAAATTAACATTGGCTAATCGGATAATGCATCCAGCGTGACACGCATTCCACGATGAAGAAGTGTTTTGTTGCCATTTGTCGCATTTATACCAGCAAAAAGAAATAATTAATTTTGTTTAAAAAAATGTTCATATTAAGTTGATTTTAGAGACTACTTGTAAGCTGCTTTTAAAACTAAATACTTTCTTTTTAAACATTTAACACAATAGTTAAGTATGAAAATATAGCTTTCTAATATTAATAAAAATGAATTCAAATTATTACCAACTTATTGTCACTAATTAATCTACAGTAACGTATATCACACTTATAGAAAGTAGGTATACATCTTTGAGCTTGCTTAGTTACAATAAAAATCCAATAATTTATTTTAAATGAAATATTTATGCGGTGAAATTGCGTCAATTCGATAATTCTCTTTTTTAATAGTTTTTTAACTAATAGATAACTATTCGATTTTATCATTGAAGCATTAAAATTAGCCGAATTTGAATACGACCCTGCGCCTTGGCCGGTCTGCGAACCGAACGAAAATTACACGAGGAAAATTTATTAAAATCTCACATCTCGTACGCTTTTTAGCAGAAATCGTATAGCCAAGGGTTCCGAATAAGTGAAAGGGAGTTTTAATTTTTTTTTGACAACCCTTTCGCTCTCTTTAACTTCCACCCTTATGCAATTCGCAGTCGTAAGGGACGTCGAAGCCGGCAGTTTTTTGCCACTAATTCCCAATTGTGAATATTCACTAAAATACTCAAAATTGCTCTAATAAAATTAATTATCGATTTATTGGTTTTGTAATTATAGAGTTTGTTTTCATATAAGTATTATATTGATATTGATCGCTTCGGTTAAATTCATTCACCTTTATTTAAATTTATGCACTGTCAGTATAAACTATTTCGTAAACTAATATTCGATTATGAATTCAAATGTATGTTAATCGGTAGTGAAATGTAATTCAAGGAACTCGTTTTCGAGTATAGGATTGTGATTTTTATAATTCGTTGTAGAATTTCCATCAGTGTCTATTGAATTTAATTAGGGCCGGTGAGTCCGGTCCTGCGTCGTTATCAGTCTCTCCGCTTTGTCTTGATTCCGCCGAATTTCATACACTTGAAGTACATTTTTCAGATATATTCGTGGGAATTAGTAATTTCACCCTTCGGCTCGCTTTTTTTTTCGGAGAAGGGAGTTTTTTTAAGGGCGATTTATTGAACTTGGGATGGATGATATCAAATTTTATATGAGCATAGAGGTGCACATTAGGCCCTCGTGAATTCGCTTTTTTAGCCACTTGTCGACGTTTCGGACGAACCTAATTGGAGTAATACATCCGGCTCCAGCTTTTTATGAGCCGCATAAAATTCGAAAAAAAACGAGGCTTTCTTTGTATGCCCGAAATTTTAATTGGAACTCGCGAATATCTGTACAGTAGGTACCATTAATTTGCTCGTCACTATAATTTTATAATGTAAATGTCCTTAAACTCCGTAACTTTCAGTCAACTCTTCAGGAAGACTTTCCGAACTCGAAACTCCGTTTGGTGGCGCCATCGCACAGGGGAGCGTCGATTCCCCGAAACCTCAGTCGAGTTTCAGCGCTGACTGGATGCGGTAACGCCGCTCGAATAAGGGATGCGACCCTTACAAGCGATCGCATTTCGCAAAAAACGACCGTTAATGGAAGCGTTTATTGAAATGCGCCTTTCAAATTAGTCAAACTCCATTATTCCGATGCACCTTAAAATTTATAGAGACACTTAAACGCCATCCGAAAACAAATTAAAACAATCATAAAAGAACGCCCGTTAAATCGATCTTTTATTACTAATTTTATATCGAATGCCGTAAAAGTAAAGTAGAAATTGTTGTTTGAAAAGTAATTTTAATGTCTTCGAATGTTAACCGTTTCACATAAGCACCCAGGTGAAATTTAATTCGAATGATTTATCGCTCGTGCTCGGATCTCGGCATTTTTCAACTTTCAACTATTTTATAAGAGTTTTGTCAATAGTGTAAGAAAATGATAAAAATTATATACTAATATATCCTCTAATAACCATACACAAATTGAACCCACATTATAAAATATAGTAAGTAGGTAAGGAAAAATAAATGGGCATCAATCTTAATAAACATTGAGTCGATTTTTAATTAAAAGCGCATTAAAGTCAATAAAAATAATCGAATCCCAATCGATAAACCCGAATGGAAATAATACATCTATTTACGACAAAATATAATTTTTAATCGAATCAATTAATCTAATTTGCTGTAAACTTTCATTCATTTTTAATTCGTTTTCTTATAAATTATTTATACGAGGATAATTAGCATTTGACATGTGTATTCGTTAATTGTTTTTAATAGACCCGGTCGCAAGTTGAATCACCTATTTATAATGTGACAATGTGACGTTTTTAAAGTCGTTTCAGGTATATAAAAAATATTAAAATGTCGATAGAGCAGTTAGAATTGGTTCGAAACGGTCGAAATGTCATTTGGGATTATTTATAACAATGGTTGATTGTGTCGTAAATTAACTATACACTGAGAGAAATGGTACTCTTACTCTGTTGATTTTAGAATTTAGTTGTGAGATTAATTAAATTGAGTGGTAGGTACACAATTTGTAAAAAATGAAAAAAAGAGTAGGTATTATAAGGGTGACAAAAATTTTGGTAAGTTTCAAATTTTTTTAACTAAATATTTAATATAAAGGGATGTTTTAAATATACAACATTTTTGTAATGTATAATCAATGCTTCTATATACTTATATAGGTATAGATACTTAGATAGGATAATAATAATCAGGTGATGAAAAGTTTTTTTAGTGTATCAAAAGCAAACGTAAATCTTATTTATAGCACTTATAACCTTTATATTATTTATTGTTATTGTCCATGTGTCTTTCTAATGTTAATCCTGTCCCACACACTAAAACGTTTATATACGAAGAAAAACTGAACATTCTCGGATAGTAGATATTAACGTATTTATTATGTTAATAAATATCTAATATGAATGATACAGGTAAAGAGGTGTTTGAATATCAACAGTTAATAAGTAATATTAAAAATTTGGTAGGTATGTTTAAGTTGAACTTAAATTAAAATATTTTAAAGTTTAATTTTTATTTACATTCACATCGTGTTTCACTATGCTCAAATGCGAATTGGTTAATTATAAAAAATATAATAATAATAATAATAATAATAACAAATATTTCTAATATTTCAATGTTATGACATTTGCTGTAAATAAAATTGTGTTTGTCTATACGTTACTTGTTTACAAATAACCGCAATTCTAGCAGTTTGAATGATAAATTAACACGCAGTATATAATTTTTTAGATTGATTTTATTCATTACATACACTCCAAATATAAATTTTTATATTTTCTTAGAATTTCATAAAATATTGCCAAAAATCTCTGATAAGCTCAAAAAAATATTAAAATTATTACATGCATTCAAAATATTGTAGTCGATACATTAGTAAAGAGTGGATGATTTCTATAATATACATTATATAGGTATATATTTTGTTAAAGTGGCAAATTTTTTAAAATTTTGAATTTGGTTTAAAATTGTGATTTCAAAAAATTCCAATTTTAGTTTTGATTGATATAAAAAATTTAATGTGGTAGGTATAAGTCTAACTAACTTTAATAAATATGATAATAAGAAATATCTATAATAGAGATATTTTTATAATTTTTGTTTTGTGGGTGTATTTAAAAATGGAACTAAATTTACTCCAATACCTAATGTAAAGAGAAAAGTTTCCGCAATTTTTTTTCTAATAAAAAGATACTTTGATTTCAGTGCGTGATGTGATTAGTGATGAAATATTGTCAGGTATTTGAAAAACAATAATTGGTGCTCCCACTTTTTTAATTCTTAATTTATTAATTAATTAAATAAAAACTTTAATTGGCCAATTGTGTTTGTATAACAATCGAATACAATTTTTCCAATAGTATGCGTTATTACTCTAACCTACAATATATCTATTTATTATAGTTAGATAATAATTAATAATTTTGTTTGGAATCTTTATAGGCTCACTTTTAAATAGGGTATTTTATACCGACATTTTAATAAAAAAACAGTACCTGGTTATACATGCACTGGTAATTATTAACAATTATTCAATTTTTACTGAATAATAATCACGAAAAAAATTTTAATTTTGATTCAGAAATTCAACACAAATTTTCTCGAGTGATAAGGCAATGTAAAAATGTTGGTGTATTTTTTCCTACCTGTTGCCAAAATTGCGCTAACAAATAAATCCTTTCCTTTTTAAAGAGCCAATCCATAGATTGCATGGCCTGCAAGTCCATATCTCCACCGGGGGGTGGTAGATTCGCCGCCGCCGTGGGCTGCATATGTTCCAACTCCGCCAGCTTTGCAATCGGAACGGCCGCACGAAAAATCGAAAAAAACCAACAAAAAAACCCAGTCGCAACAGTTTTCACTAAGTATTCAAAAATCCGAGGAACATCTCGCCTCGCTAGTCCCGCGCACTCCCGGCACTCTCATACCATCCGGATTAATCCCGAAATAATCAAAAAAATTTCTCTAACAATAATAATAATACTAATCACTTTCGATGTCGCATGAGACGCGGAAGCACTCGCAGGTAATCAGGTAATAATAAATAAATATATCGGAAGTATATTCAACTTGTGTTCGTGTTCCAAACGCCAGCGCAAGCACGTGCTAACATCAGAATAACTACCCCAAGACTGACGAACGGCTAAGTTGATCTTGCATGGTGCATTCCGATTCCTTCTTTCTCTCTTCCCATTCCTTCTTTCTCGTTCTCAGGCTCCGCCTCCGGTGTTGGAAAGTGACTCCCTCTGCCGTCGATCGCGGAACCGTGCCGATCGCTCCGTCTCCGTTCGGTTCGCTTTGATTCCGGTGCGTCCGTTCTTTTTCACGGCTCGCATCCGTCGCGGCCAATACAAGCGCTGTAAAGTAAAGGCTGATATTTTCTTTTTAGGAAAATCGAAAGATATCTATAGTGCGCATTCACTACCCTGACTACCCCCTTCCTTTACGTATATTATAAGGTTTTTTTTTTGATGGATGAGAGTTAAGGGGTGATTTCGCAGCGCATGTGCTGCGTTTATAGTGTGTTGTGTGTTTTTCCTGAGGAGCGTGTGTGTGTGTTTGTGTGTAAGGGTGTTAAGGCATTTTTAGATTCTTATTTTTTTTTTCGAGACGGTGTTTGTTTACGCGTTTCATTCAGTTGCTTCCTTTTGCTTTGTTTGTCGTTGGTTAAATTCGCACGATTTTTTTAGGGCAGTGTATGTTGTATACTTTTTTTACTCTATACAGGGGAAGCTTACTTAACTACAGTCTTTTATGATCAATTCATTTATTAAATTTCTTTCAGATATATGGCAATTTAGGTTCATGAAGAGAAGGGACACACACACACTGATTTAATTAAATTATAGTCATTTTTTTAAACATTTTGTATATTTTAATATATTTTTTTAATAAATGTTTATAAGTATTACCTTGTGTTTAATTGCAATGTACTTATTTCGATTCGTTTTGCATATATTAAGATAAGTTTACTGGCAATCCCGAATGAAAATTATATGAGGGGAACTTTATTAAGCACCTACCTAATATATTTCAAGAACTTTAACATATACAGATATGTGCAAATTTGAGGGAAAATTTATGTGATATTTTGGAATTGCAACTTTCTTACTCTAACTACCTAATGTTAGTTTCATAATATCCTTATTCAACTTATAGAATTTACCATATTGCAAACAAATGTAAATTGATAAAGGAGATCATACAGGGTGTAACTCTTCATATCATGAATTATTTCAAACCAAAGTTTCATGTTTGTTATACTCCGTTCGTCATCAAGAGGTAGTAGGTAATAAAACCTTCTTTTGAAGCAGTAAACCATGGGCGTACCGCGACAATTATTTTAAAAGCCTCAGGCACTGTTGAATTAATCATTTAATAAATAATTAACAACTATATAACCTTTGATAATTACCTACCGATAGTATTTACGTAAAAGGTATATCGATTCAGATATCAATGTGAATAAAACATTGAACTGGATCATCTGCAGCATGAAAAATAAAATAAAAAGCACGAAATTATCATACAGGGTGTTCTCGAACTTATATCACTAAATTCTAGGGGTGGCAGTATGTATAATTTGAGAGCGATTCGCAGATATGTATAATGTTTCAAAAAAAAATGATAAAACAAAATAGAGCCATTAGAAATAAATGCAAAGAGCGAATACAATCCTGGCCACAATAGTCAGCTGATCGGAATTTTAACTCAAAAAACAGATTCGGTGTATTTTATCAGCAAGCGAAAATTTCCCCCTCCGCCCTCCAGCTTTAGAAAAACGTTATCGATACCAATCGTTTTCTAGTGCGAATTGTATTGTTTTGATTATAACACCGGGGAAAATAGATTTTTGTGATTAGACTTTAGTGATTTATTTGATTGTTTTTGTTCTTAGTGTTCTTAGTTTAGTTAGTTCTTGTTCGTTATAGTGGATGTTCTGGAACAATTAAGCAGTTTTCTACAACAAAATAGGTGAGCTAATATTTCTTTTGAGTTTAAAGTTTATTTTCGTCTATATATTACAAGAACCCATAGAATTTAGTGCCATAAGTTCGAGAACGCCCTGTATATCTAATATAGGTATTTTATCAACAATTGCGACAATGAAGGTTAATAAAATCTTTATCAATTCCGCAAAACGCGAGCGCCAACTGTTGCAAAAGACCACCTCCAGGATACCTCCATACTCCGAAAATGTTTACAAAAGGAATTCCATCGAGAATCACGTTCCGTTCGCGTTCTAGCTCATCTCGGATCTCCCGAAGCGCGCACTCAGCGCAAAAAATCCCACTTCGCAACGCCGTAATTACGGATTAATTGTCGCGTTTTCGCAACGCGCGCGGCACCGTCGCGTCTTCGACGGCGTCTTCTCCGTGGCCGGCGTGCACCAGGTGAGCGGGTTTCCAATACTTCGAAATATCCCCGATTGTTCTGCCAGTCGTCGCACTCCCGGCGATCGACCAGATAAACAATAATAATCGTTGCTCAAGCTGGAAACACAATTGAATAAGTATATTGTGGTCTTTATCTATTTTTAATTCTTGCAATTGATGTTGGTTAATTTCATCCAGGTGCGGACCCATTCCAAAAACCTCCATAAAAACTTAAAATACACATAAAATCAATAGTACTTTTGTTTAGTATATTAATCATTTTTTTAATCAATAAATAATTAAACACTTTTTAAAATAATTTTTAAAAATTAATTATCTCTTGAAATTAATAATCCAAGTCCACCTCTGCAGCTACGACAATCCATAAAATTACTTAACTCGCGAACAATTGAAACTAACGATTTTCATAGAGGCTAATCTTTATCTGTTTTTAATTTTTTTAATTCATCGTTACTAAATATCCTTATGTCAAATTTTTTTTTCGTTTGTTCATGTCGCGCATTTATTTTTATGCAATATTGTAATTGTTTATTGTTCCTAGAGGCGGGGATCATTAAACAACAATATCCATGGGATAATTTCGTTGGGCAATTTAAATAAAATGCTGATGTGTTTGTCTAAGAAAAAATGTGAGGTTTTGAAATTGATGTGGTGTTTTCTGGTGAGGCAATTGATTCTGTGATCTGAATGATTGTTTTCTTTAATTCTCTGGTTATTTAAATAATAAAATTCTTCGAAAATAGGTAGAAAATGTTAATGTATGTAATTGAACGAAGGCAAAAAAATAAAATAAAATTAAAATTTATATACATACCTATCTAGTATCTAATTAATCAAAGTCTTAACATACATTCGTCTCAAATTGAAAGGAAATCATTAAAAAATTTATTAAATATAAAAGCGGTTTCTACAGCACATACTATGAATTTATTAAAACAGAAATAGTTTTCTAGAATAGTTGAATATCCAATTTTTATCTAATTAGTTTTTTTCATTATTTTATTTTGTATCTAATGTTTTTGGTTCGTTTGTTAGTTTCAACCATTTGCTTAATGATGAGAAAATGAAATTAATTAACAATAAAATAATAATAAATTATGGTAATTATAAAAATTTTTAAATTGATAAATCGCCGCATTAACTGTTTCGTTCGTTTGTTATTTTCAGTGATGTATGGACGTTTTTTAGATTAATTGCCAGATTACGTGAAAAAAATATGAATAAATTTTAATTATCCACTTCGGGTATCCCCGAATATATCTACTATCCGTTATCCTCCACTGAATTCCTGCACAAAAACTGTAATATACCGTATTATTTTTTCATAGGTACAATCAATTCATATGATGATCAATACTACTTTTTATATCTACCTTTAATTTTATTGCTACTGGTACATGGGTTTTGTATAATTATTCAATATTAATCAAACTGCAAATCTTAACATATGAAAGGAAGATCAGTATGTGATCGATTTTGATTTAACCCCGACTAATTTCGCTATCGTCGAATTTGCATTTTCTCAGAGACCTTCCGCAACATCTGCCCCGTAATAAGAACCGATAGCGCCTTAAACAGAAGAAATTAAATGAAAAAAAGGAAAGGGTTAGACGGACCATCTGTTCAAGAAAAGACTCGATCGACGTACATCCTTATCGAACAATACTCGAAATTAACTATGCATGATATTAAGCGGTGGATTTTTATTTATTAAGCCTACCTAAGAAACAAGTTTTATTTGCATAGTTGCATGAATTAACGAATTGGCGCAGTCGGTGACAATGGGTAGGATGGTTAGGGGACGGCAAGAAGGGGGGAAATTAGAACGGAATCCGTGGGTAAATGTTAATTGGAAAATTTTTATTTACATCGCACTGTTAGTACGTATACATAATTTCATCGGGTAAATATCTATACAAATTTAAAGGTTCATGTTTCAACTTCCTATGTAGAGTTAAACATACCTGATGGCATTAGCAGATTGCTAAAGTTAATAATTGTTAAAAAAATCTGTTTTAATCCACAACATTAATTTTTATGAAGTTTTGTACAAACAATGCACTAAAACGCATTTCTTGATTTGCATAATTAATGACATATTGCTGTAAAATATTTTTACAATAACTCGCATGCAATATTCCGAGCGATTTCTTATCGCAGCGCAGAGGCAATTTTGTCGGATTTTTTTCACATATCCTTGGGCAGGACGTTGACATTTTTTTTCTTTTTTAATTACCCATCGCTTTTATCTATTCAAAAAGTTCGAACGAAATTAACGCCGAAAACAATAATAAAAAATTCTTCGTATCCGATTTGCATTCATTACGATACGCCTTCGGGTAATTAACTTTTTATCTTAAATAAAACGAAAGAGGTTAGGGTGTAAGAAACTCCGCGTCCTCCATATAGGTACTTAAAATCGAAACGTCTAATTAAACATTATCGCATTAACAATATAAGTAACCGCTTAGTAATAATAACAGAATTTTAAAGTTAAATGTAGGTATGCTAATGTCGACAATACCTGAGCAATCGTTGTCGAAATCGCGGAGTTCGAGCTTCCTGAAACATACTCAAACAAGTTTTAAGTACCGCGATGATTGGCTTCTAACCATAATCTTGTAACGTTACCCGCAACTACTAACCAGAACACGTTTCTTCAATTTGATCATTGAAATTTACGATTTTTTAGTTGCAATCGATGATTTTGTTGTAGAATTTTTCGAGGAACGAA